TACATTTATAAGTGTATATTCTGAACTGGCACAGAAAATAGTACCCCTGGTGTGATTTTAAGGAATTTTGAAAATTAGGCTGAAAAAAAAAAAAAAAAAAAAAAAAAAAAAGAGCTGAACTATAGGCCAGGGATTTTTTTGGTTGAATAAAACTCTCTCAAACTGGAAAATGGTCATGACACTGATGGGTCAATTACTCCCCACAAATATGAAAAAATTATGTATACATAGCTTTCATGGAAGGTTATGAGCTTTTAACCCTTTGAGGGTCCAGAGGCCAAATCTCAGAATCCAAGAATTTTTGGAGAGAGAAAAAAAAAAATATAGAATTAAAGATATTTTTCTAGAGGTAATAAAACAAAAAAAAATCCAATCAGTACTTTCCAAGATATAGAGTCATGAAGTCGACTCTCAATGACCAGGCGGCAGCAACATGGGCAACTTCTGTAATGTTGCACTTTTTTTTATTTTACTTTTTTCTTCCCTTTTCTAATTTTTTTTCCAATAACATTTGTGGCCTGTGAGACCAATATAATGCCTAATATACATGTACATACACTTGTTGTAGAAAGTTGAAAATGAACATAGAAAAGAGTAAGGTAATGAGAGTATCAAATGATTTAGATAAAGAAAAATTAGATAAACAAATTGGAGAGGAGGAGTATGTTTTCAGATATTTGGGAGTTGATGTGTCAGCGGATGAATTTATGAAGGATGAGATTAATCATAGAATTGATGAAGGAAAAAAGGCGAGTTGTGTGTTAAGGTATATGTGGAGATAAAAAAACATTATTTATGGAGGCAAAGAAAGGAATGTATGAAAGTATAGTAGAACCAACACTCTTATATGGGTAACATATGCCACTCTTATATGGGTGTGAAGCTTGGATTGTAAATGCTGCAGTGAGGCGGCGGTTGTAGGCAGTGGAGATGTCCTGTCTAAGGGCAATGTGTGGTGTAAATATTATGCAGAAAATTCGTAGTGTGGAAATTAGGAAAAGGTGTGGAGTTGATAAAAGTATTAGTCAGAGGGCTGAAGAGGGGTTGTTGAGGTGGTTTGGTCATTGAGAGAGAATGGATCAAAGTAGAATGACATGGAGTGTGTATAAATCTGTAGGGGAAGGAAGGCAGGGTAGGGGTCGTTCTCGAAAAGGTTGGAGGGAGGGGGTAAAGGAGGTTTTGTAGGCGAGGGGCTTGGACTTCCAGCAAGCATGCATGAGCGTGTTAGATAGGAGTGAATGGAGACGAATGGTATTTGGGACCTGACGAGCTGTTGGAGTGTGAGCAGGGTAATATTTAGTGAAAGGATTCAGAGAAACCGGTTATTTTTATATACCCGGACTTGAGTCCTGGAAATGGGAAGTACAATGCCTGCACTTTAAAGGAGGCGTTTGGGATATTGGCAGTTTGGAGGGATATGTTGTGTATCTTTATATGTAGATGCTTCTAAACTGTTGTATTCTGAGTACCTCTGCAAAAACAGTGATTATGTGTGAGTGAGGTGAAAGTGCTGAATGATGATAAAAGTATTTTCTTTTTGGGGATTTTCTTTCTTTTTGGGTCACCCTGCCTCGATGGGAGATGGCCGACTTGTTAAAAAAAAAAAAAACTGCACTGATATTTTCATCATATTATTTACAAAACTTGTTTACAACAAAAAAACATTAAAAAATGTTGCATATTAGTAATGTTCTATTATATATTTACATATATACAGTCAACAGACATGTTCCTAGAACTGCTATGGTCTGTGAAAGTCTTGGAAACAAGGTGTCATGCACAGTGGTGTCTTACTCATCTGTTGACCAGTATGATTTTATATTATGCTTATAGACATGAGGCATAAGCATTATTTTTGAAAAAAAAAAAAAAAAGGACTTTTCAGCCACAGTTGTCACCTCCTACCAGTTTAGTCTTGACTGTGGTGATATCATTGTATTTGCCATGATGTAATCAAAATCCGAGATGCAGTTTACTGGTGGGTACTGGACATCATAAGCTGGTTGTGGTTGTGCAGGTTGTGGTGTGGGGCTGATGATGTGCTTTGTCCTGGACTGCTGAGTCAGTGGCTTGGGTCCCAGCCTGGGCTGGTGCCACATGCTCGTGGCACCACCACCACCTACTGACGCACGTGGTCTATCCATCCCAATTGTAGCCACATCATCATCACTTTCACTGTCTATTCCAGGGTAGGGCCATGGGATGTACTCCATCCCCTTGGAATTGCACATGGTACAGGGACCCCAATGGAAATAAGTCACTCTGTCTGATTTTGTTTTTGGTTATCCTAGGTTCTTTTCACACATGCTGCTATATATGATAATCTATGTAACTATTTGTGTATACCTGAATAAACTTACTTACCTGAGTGCATGTGGCATTGTAAGTTTATTCAGGAATACACAAATACAGTTACATAGATTATCATACATAGCAGCATATGTGTAGAGAACCTGGGATAACCCAAAAAGTCAGTGACTTATTTCCATTGGGATCCCTGTACCATATGGTACCATTGTACCATATGGTTCAGAGCCACAGAATTCTTCAGATCCATTTCCATCAGTGTTATAAATATCACTTGGGAAGAGAAGAGTCCCAGTTCACTGCAGAATGAGAGCTTCCTTGCCGCGAGGCATGAAGAACAAAGCGTACTGAGATGACGTTCCCACAATGTAATGTGGGTGCCCCAATTTTTTGTTTACTGCACACACTGACCACGCAGACCCATTATCTTAGATATAGGCCTATCAGCCTTCTTGTGCTAAATTTGAAGCCGCTAGAATTATGGCATAGTTCTACGGCTTGGACCCTGGCTTTAAAGAAGTAGAACTGCATGACTGACCCTCAAAGGGTTAAAAGATGTGCCATAAAAGGTGCCTCGGACCGGGAAGAAGTCAGAGGAGAGAAACAACCTAATATTATGTTTAAATGGTCTCTTTTTTTTTTTTTTTTTTTTTTTTCCCCCCCAAGAGCATATTCTTAAGTAGCATAAAAAGTAGGTCAAATAGTGATTTTTTTTGGAATGTTTAGTTATTTTTCACAATTTATGGTTATTTTTTCCTAATCTTTAGTTTTTTCTCATAATTTTGTCATTTTTTTGGTAACTTATCTTTTGTAGTTTTTAGTTATTTTTCATTATTTTGTTATTTTCTGTAATGAATAGTCTTAATGAAAATATTAGCTTCCTTTATTAGGCATTACCAAAAAGGAGGGCCTTGTATGATGCTAAAATTATCTGATTTTACATTAGGTATATTCTGAATCAGCATTATTGAACCATTTTTTGGACCTTTCTAAAATTCCAAAGAATGATTCAGTAATGAGGTAGGATCATAAGAGGTTGCTGCAGCAGCATTTTCATGGATCTGGGACTCCATGGTTAGGTCACTTTTTACTTTTTGTTTTCCCCAAAAAAAAAAAAAAAAAAAAAAAAAAAAAAAAAAAAAAAAGAGGAGGGGAGGGGAACATGGAAGGATAGCTCCTAGGAGAAATGAAAATTCATAAATGTCTCCTCCATGCCCAAGAGGACCTCAATGCAGCCAGTAATGCAGATGTGGCATGAAACCTGTGCCATACCCTACCCTTCATGCCAGTAAATCATCAATCTAGGACAGTAACCCCACATCTACAGAGACACCTTAGTGGATAAAAGAGAGGGTCGGATATCCGCCACAAGGCATACCTCCTTCGGCCATCACCTCCCGGAATCCGACAGGCAGCCTCCAGAGATACACTGGTCACCCAAAAGACACCTGAAGCTTCCCCCCCTCCCCAGGAGACCAGAGAGGGATTGGGATATCACCAGATGATCCACATTCCACGGCAAACTACACCACCACCAAGGAACTCAAAGATACCCTTTCCAAACCTAGGAACCAGAATGTTTGAGGAAAGGACTCCAAAGGCTGGGGAGGGATGTGGAAAGGAGGAATGGGAAGGAAGGGATGTGGAAGATGGGGCAGGAAGGGGAAAGTAGGGGGATAACAAGGTTCGGTTGGAGGAAGACTGAAATGTCCAATTCCTCTGACCAAGAGTCTCTTCACCTCAACAAGGAGCTCACCCCCTTGAAAACGTCATAGTAGCAGAAATGTTTGAGTTTTGAGCAGCCAACTGGCCAGTCTAATATGCATTTAGGAATGAACTGACATTATACAATTACTACAATAATGCAGTAGTCTGTGTAATGGTAAATCTATTTTTTGCATGAATAAAAATTCAAAATGGAAAGCAAGTGTAATATAAGAGGGGCCTGGAGATGTGATTAATGAACAGAGAAAATGTTATTTTAGTGCCAGGAATATCTGCATTGTTTATTCTGGACCCTATTTTGAAAATAGGGTCCAGAATTTAATGTGAAATTGGCCAAATTACCAATTTCTGATCACTTTGCTGGGTAGATGAATGAGCAGTTTCTTGTACTCAAATGAAAGAATGGAAGACATACTAGTGAAATAGCTAAGAATCTGTCAACTGGAACAATGGAATTGGCCTAAATTCAGACTCAAAGTGGATGAAATCACTGATGCATAAATATTGCCAATACAGTAAAATTCATGAGAGTACAATTTTGTCAGTTTTCCATCAAATTTTGTACTTTTTGTTTTATTACCTTTAGAAAAAGATTCTCTACACTTTCATAAGAATTTTTTTTTTTTTAAATTTTGCAACCCTGAGATCAAGTATGAGAGAAAGGGTTACAACCCTGAAAGGAATAAATACAACCTTCTTTATAACCTAAAATCTCAAAATATTGCTATTCAATAGTGAATACACTTACTCTCAAAATACTGCAATTCATTAAACACAAGATCGAAGGTTCAGAAACGAAAAGTCTGTTTATATTTTTTTAACGTACTGTAATACATATTTTAAGTAAATATGCTGCAGTCTCATCTTTTTCTTAACACATCATCAGACTCAACATATACAGATTTTTCTTTCTAATCTTGAAAATTTCAGGACAAGAACAACACATGAGGAAATACCACATTAGATACTTCAAGTCTTGCAATTGTTTATTAAAGGTGTCAGTGGAATCAATGCATGTTCAATCCAAATGAACCACAGAGATTAAATAGAAGGCAACATAAGGTTAGTGCTTTACTATCTACACCAGGACTTTTACCATATTTTAAAAGGACCTAGATCAAGTGAGAAATCTTCATATTTGGTGCTCTTGCTATGCATAGTCATACAGGTAACGTACAACATCAAAACTAACCATCCTGCAAAGAAAAATACCCTAATTAATAATTTATATAGTGGTTAAGAGTACTAACACTACTAACAAGTATATAAATTAATATTACGTACTGGTCAGGAGTACGAGCACTACTAGTAAATATATAAATTAATATCATCAAATAGTGGACAAGAGTACTAACACTACTAGTGACTATATAAACTAATATCATATACATGTACCAATGGTACCATTGTACCATATGGTACAATGTACCATATGGTTCAAAACCATAGAATTCCTCTTCAGATCCACTTCCGTCAGTGTTAGAACTATCACTTGGGAAGAGAAGAGCCCCAGTTCGCTGCAGAGTGAGACTTCCTTGCCGCGAGGCATGATGAACAAAGCGTACTGAGATGGCATTCCCACAATGCAATGTGAGTGCCCCGAATTTTTGCTTATTAGGCACACTGACCACGCGGACCCATTCTCTGAGATGTAGGCCTACCAGCCTTCTTGTGTTATACTTGAAGCCGCTAGAATACTGGCATAGTTCTATGGTTTGGATCCTGGCTTCAAAGCCGTAGAACTATGTGACGGACCCTCAAAGGGTTAAGGCCTCATCCATCTCAAAGCCACTACACTCTGGGCCAACATCACTTTCCTCTTAAAAGGGGAGTGTCAATACGATATGGCATCAATGAATCCCTAGTGTTTACCACTCTGCTCTGGCTGGTGCTGAATTGAACTGGTGCTCCCATAAAGTAGTAAGTGATCCCAGATTTTTTTAATACTGTGCACACTGAGTGTTAAGACCCATTCTATATTGATCAGGCATCTCAGGCCAATCATACCAAATTTGAAGGCAGGAAAAAGAAAACGTTTATTTACATTTGGAGTGCTAGAGGTAACAACGTAGATCTACATTTGAACAGTTTAACCCCTTCAGGGTTAATCTTGTCCTTACTATCTAAAATCTTCAAAAAAATAATACATACAAGCGAATTTACTCCTACCTATTATCCCACAACATAACCTGTCAGTTGGGATTTAGGCCGAATGATGCAATAAAACAAATGCCCGAACTACTATATACAGCACTCAAATAAAATGAATATCCCCTGGGGCTCTTCGTAGAGCTACGGAAAGCATTTGATACAGTGGACCACAATCTTTTGCACCTAAAACTACAACATTATGGGGTCAGAGCACATTCCCTCGATTACCTAAAATCTTGTCTTAGCAATAGACACCAATATGCATACATAAATGGCATTACCTCAACGACTCAGCTTGTAGTTGTTGGAGTCCCATAGGACATACCTGGAGAGGGTTTTGGGGGTCAATGCCCCCCACAGCTCAGTCTGAGACCAGGCCATGTGGTGGGTCAGGGTCTGAATAACCAGACTGTTACTGTTGGCAGCACGCAAACTGATATATGAATCACAGCCAGGCTGGTCAGGTACTGACTTTAGGTGCCTGTCCAGTGCCTTCTTGAAGATAGCCAGGGGTCTATTGGTAATTTCTCTTATGTATGCTGGGAGGCAGTTGAACAGTCTTGAGCCCCGGACACTTACTGTGTTGTCTCTCACTGTACTCGCGGCACTCCTGCTTTTCATTGGGAGAATGTTGCATCTCCTACCTTTGATATACCTTTGAAGAGTTTCAAGAGTTTATCCACTCTCTGAGCCCAGCCATGGGCCAGGCTTGTCTGGTGCTTGCCTGGTCAACCAGGCTGTTGCTGCTGGAGGCCCGCTGCCCCACATATCCATCACAGTCTGGTTGATCTGGCACCTGGTGAAGATACTTGTCTAGTTTCCTCTTAAAGGCTTCTACACTTGTTCCAGCAGTGTTTCTGATATCCCCTGGCAAGATGTTGAAAAGTCTGGGACCCCGGATGTTGATACAGTGTTCCCTTATTGTCCCCACCGCACCCCTGCTCCTCACTGGGTTTATTTTACACTTCCTCCCATATCTCTCACTGTTATGGCAGTGTGCAGATTTGGGACCAAGCCCCCATGAGTACCTTCCAGGAATATATTATCATGTACCTCTCTCTCCTCCACTCCAATGAGTACATGTTCAAGATTTGCAGGCGTTCCCAGTAGTTTAGGTGCTTTACTGGCTCAATGTGAGCCGTAACGAACTCTGTATTTGTTCCAGCTCCGATATTTCTCCTGCCTTGAACGAGGCCGTCAGCACTGAGCAATATTCTAAGTGAGGGAGCACTAGCGATTTGAAGAGTGTCACCATTGGCATTATTTCCCTTGTTTTGAAAGTTCTCAATACCCCCCCACCCCCATCATCTTCCTGCCTAGTCTTTTGCTTTTATAGGGAGTGATTTTCGTGTGCAAGTTTGGTACTAATCCCTCTAGGATTTTCCAAGTGTATATTATCATGTACGTATCTGTCTCTCTCACCTGCATTCCAGGGAATACAAATCAAGGGACTTCAACCATTCCCAGTAATTTAGGTGCCTTATCGTACTCGTGTGTGCCATGAAAGTTCTTTGTACACTCTCCAGGTCAGCAATTTTGCCTGCCTTGAAGGGGGCAGTTAGTGTACAGCAGTATTCCAGCCTAGATAGAACAAGCAATTTGAAGACAATCATCATGGGCTTGCCATCCCTAGTTTTGAAGATTCTCATTATCCATCCTATCATTTTCCTAGCAGATGACATAGATACATTGTTGTGGTCTTTGAAGGTGAGATCCTCTGACATTATCACTCCCAGGTCCTTCACATTACTTTTTCCCACTATTGTATGGTTAGAATTTCTCGTATACCTTGATACAGTTTTAATTTCCTAAAATTTTCCATATCTGAGTAGTTGATATTTCTCTTCACTGAACTTCATAACAACATAAGAAAGAAGGAACACTGCAGCAGACCTACTGGCCAATGCAAGGCAGGTCTAATTCTCCCACCGGCTTAAGCCAATGCCTTAACCTAGTTAGGTCAGGTCACATTCACTTAAGGAAGGAGCACAGCATCTGACCTAGTAGCACGAGCTAGTCAGGTCCAACTCACACCCTCCCACATCCACTCGTGTATATATCTAACCTATTTTTAAAACTACACAACGTCTTAGCTTCTATGACGGTATTCAGGAGTTTGTTCCACTCATCCACATTACCAAACCAGTGCTTTCCTATATCCTTCCTGAATCTGAATTTTTCCAACTTAAAGCCATTGCTACGAGTCCTGTCTAATCTAGATATTTTTAGCACGCTATTTACATCCTCTTTATTAATTCCTGTTTTCCATTTATACACCTCAATCATCTCCCCCCTAATTCTACATTATTATTATAATCAAAAAGAAGCGCTAAGCCACAAGGACTATACAGCGCTGCAGGGCAGGAAGGAAGCGAGGGCATCAGGTGGCAAAAGGGAGATGGATGAGTAATAGGTTACGGATAACAGCGGGGTAGTGGATGGTGAAAGGGTAAAGGGCAGCAAGAGACTGAACTAGAAAGGGCTGAGGGGAGTGCGAAAAGTATCATCAGAGTTTGTGGAGTAAATCAGTCATTGTCAAGAAGTCAATGAGAGAGTCGGGAAATTAAAGGAGGGTCCATCAGCAAGAAGGGAAGGTAAAGAAGAGTAGTAGAACGAAGATGACGTTGGAGGTAAATTCTGCGTGCTCGTTGATAGAGGGGCAGTCTAACAGAATGTGGCTAATCGATACTGGAACTTGACACTGCTCACAGAGGGGAAAACAGGGTGCCTCTCCATGAGTTTACCCATGAGTAAGACGAGTGTGGCCAATGCGAAGGCGGGAGAGAGTGGTCTCCAACCTCGGCACTGATGACAAGAAGACGGCCAGTAACCTATGCTCGGTTTAATAGAATGAAGTTTGTTACCGAGCAGAGTTGACCAACGTTGTTGCCAACGGTGTGCGAAGGTTGGTAGCTATTGCAGCAAAATAGTCCAGAAATGGAACACCTCGATGGAAATTGGTAGGTCATGTACTGCTGACTGCGCAGCAGTGTCTGCCTGTTCATTGCCCTGTACGTCGACATGACCAGGGACCCAACAAAAAACAATATCTTTATGTTTGGTAGAGATACGGCGTAGCCAAAGTTGGATACGGAGAATAAGGGATGAGATGTATCAAATTTTCGTATAGCCTGTAGAGCACTAAGGGAGTCTGAGACTACTACAAATGAATGAACAGGCATAGATGCGATACGAATAAGTGCTGCAAGAATGGCATACAGTTCAGCAGTAAAAAAAGCTAGCTGAAGATAGTAAATGCCCCGCACGATGCTGTCCGGAAACACTGCTGCGAATCTGACGCCGTCTGAAGACTTAGAGCCATCTGTGTACACAGCGGTGGCATGAGAATGGGAATGGAAGTGATTTAAGAAAAAGAGAGCGGGAAGCCACCCTAGGCAGTTGAGCTTTCGAGCATGGGAGTGAGAAAGAACAGACCCGAACAGCTGGAACTTCCCAGGGGGGTAGGAAAAGTGAGATGCTACATGAACATATAAAGGTGGTAACTGAAGGGAAGACAAGAGTGAATGTAGGCGAAAAGAAAAGGGACGGAGCAAACAGGGGCGGCGAAACGAATAAAGAATGTCTACTAATATCGGTGACCATTCTATAAATGGAAGGACTGTGTAGATCGTGAGAGCGTACATAGTAGCGAAGGCAATGGGCATCACGGCGATCAGACAAGGATGGAACATTCGCTTCTGTATAGAGGCTCTCAACAGGGGAAGAGCGAAAAAGCACCAAGGCACAAACGTAATCCTTGGTGATGGACAGATTTAAGGCTAGAGAGAGTAGCAGGAGAGGCGCGGAATAAATCTGGTCACCAAAAATCAAGTTTCGATAAAACGAGGGCTGAATGTAGGCAAAAGCAGAGTTCGACGATCGGGCTCCCCAGGAAAGATGAGCAAAGGTTTTTAAAGAAGGTTTAGCCGGCTGTGACAAGTTGCCTTCAGAGAGGTAATGTGAGGTTTCCAGGATAACCGCGGTCAAGAGAAGGCCTAGAAAACCTGACTGTATCACGTTCGGGAATACGGGAGCCATAGAGATA